AAGGAACATAGTGGAAGGTTGAGGAGGTGAGGTGGGGAGGGAGGGGTGCAAAGATAACACACACACACACACACATATACACCCACACACATGCACACCCACACACATGCACATACACACACACATCCACAATGTAAGGCAGAATTAAAGGAATCTGGACAGTAGGTTTAAAACAAATGAGGCAACAGGTACCTAGCCTTACATTCAATCACTTTTCCTTTTGTTTGATTTTTATTGGAATCTGTATCTGAGGCAAAGGGAGCAGGGGAGAGAAAGAGGGAGAGTATTCTCTGTGCAGATGGGAATTTGTTTTCTCTTTGAGAGCAGGAAGGAGAAATCAATCAGCCTACCAATGATTAAGGGTTTACTGAGAGTACCAACTCTGTAATAATGATGATAATAATAATAATGATGATAATGATGATGATACCTAACATTTATAAAGCACCTACTATATGCCAGGCACCATGCTAATTACAATTATTATGTCATTTGATCCTCACAACAACCCTGAAAGATAGATACTATTACAATCTCCATTTTAGTTGAGGAAACTGAGGCAAATAGAGATTTTTTTTTTAAAGTGACTTGCCCAAGGTCACGCAGCTAGTAAGTGTCTGAGGTCACATTTGAATTCAAATCTCCTTGAGTCCACTATCCACTGCTCCACCCAGCTGGCTATGTACCCAGTCCAGTGTTCAGTTCTCACTGGAGGTGACAGTGAAGCAGAAATGAAACGGGGTAGCTAGTGCAAAGTCCAGGACAGTATATAATTAAGTGTGTGGGGGGGGCACAGAGTTCAGGAAAGATGAAGGAAGGCTGAAGTAGTCAGGGATGTCTTCGAAAGAAGGTGAAAATGGGCCCTGAAGTCTGACTAGGGCTTGGGGTGGCAGAAAGGAGAATATTCTAGTAGGGGCTTGAAAATAAGAGGCCAGAGGTGGTAGATAAGAACTGAGTCCTGAACGATATGCAGGGGACTTCGTGCAAGTTTTGTGGGCCAGAGAGAATTTGTGTAGGCTGCTGATGACAAAAATCCATTTCAAAAATAGCATAGAGCTCAGACTAAGTGCCTGTCCTGATTCATAACTGGAACTCCCCACATGAAGACAGCTCTATGTAAATCAAACCCACAGCAAATTCTGCTCATCCACAAGTCTGGGAAGGGGAAGGGTTGTGGTTGATGGTGGCTAAATCTACTTCAGCCTAGAACCGAAGACGTTTTATTTCAGTTTCTTGAATCTGAACCACCATAAGAAGTTGTCAGAGTTTTCCTAATAATTGTTTATATCTGTATCATGGCTTATAGTTACAAAATGTATTCATAGACCTATTTGGCTTTGGAGTTGAAGGACCAGGGTTTAAATCTTACCTCTGACGTTTACTACTTATGTGACTTTGGACAAATCACTCACCTCTCATAGGGTCTGAGTTTCTTTATCTTATTTGCTCCTACTTTCCAGGGTGGTTGCAAGGATAAAATGAGATAATATGTAAAGTTAAAGTAAAATTAACATAGAGCCTGAGGCAAAGTGGATAAAGTACCAGGCCTGGAGTCAGGAAGACTCATCTACCTGAGTCCAAATTCAGCCTCATACACTTACTTATTGTGTGACCCTGGGCAAGTCACTTCACTCTGTTTGCCTCAGTTTCTTCATCTGTAAAATGAGCTGGAGAAGGAAAGGGCAAACCCCTCCAGTATCTCTGCCAAGAAAACCCCAAATGGGGTCACAAAGAGTTGGATACTACTGAAAAACAATTAATAACAACTACTAACAGAGCCTGGCACACAGTAGGCACTTAATAAATGCTTATTCTAATCCCTTCCACTTTATTTATTGGACTTGATGACCTCCTAGGTCCCTTCTTTCTAGACCTATAATGTCATTTAATGCTCACAACAAGCCTAAGCCAGGCAGGGCAGGGATTTATCAAACCCCCCCCCCCCCCCCCCCTTTTTTTTTGAAACTAGATTTCCCTATCTCACCTAGGCTGAAAGTGAAGTCCCAATCCCAGTCTGACTGGCATGGGAATTTTGACCTGCTTGATTTTCCAGCCTGGGCTGGTTCATCTTTCCTATTCTCAGGGGCTTCCTACATTAAGACTGAACTTAGTTTGGACAGCCAATTGGCTTAGCCCACTGAACTCCTGAGCTCAAGAGGTCTTCCAGCCTCCATCTCCCTGGCAGGAGAGTTTACAGGTATATAAACCTCCCCCACTCCACCCCAGCAACTTGTCATATCTACATTTTAAGGATGAGGAAACTGAGGCTTAGAAGAATGACTCTCATCATAAAGTTATATACAGATCCGGACTCTAACCCACAGTTGCTTAATTTCCAGTGTAGTGCTCCTTTTGCTGGACACTGGGACCTCTCTGAGCTTTATCCTACAGGGATGAAAAAAAAAGGACGCTTCTTATGATGAACTTTATGCAAATCAGACCCACAGTAGGTAGTCTACACAGCCACAGGCCCAGTGGGGAGGGCTAAGTCAGGATGCCATGTTCTAATACAATGTGAGCTCCTTAGAGCAGGTACTGTTTCAGTTTTGTTGTTTGTACCTCCCTGCGTGACTTGGTCCCTTGGTCCGCAGCCCAAGATCACACGTTGCACATAGTAGGTACTTAACAGGCCGGGGAGGCTGATGAGAGTTGGAGTAGACCGGAAGGACTTCATGGAGGTGTAGGCCTTGAGTTGATTCTTGAAAAATGAATGGGATTTGGAAAGTGAAGAATACAGAAAAGAAGGCCAACTGGAAGGAAGACACTACATAAGTATGATGTATTTGCTCTTAGGGGAAGTAATAAACTGGCCTGTGGTATAGGGACATGTATCATGGTACAATAAGAAGATCATAGACTCTCATGGTACTTACCAGCTCTATGACCTTGGGCAAAGCACTCAACTTCCTGCACCTCAGTTTCCTCATCTGAAAAATGAGGCAGTTGGATGGTAAAGACAAACAATGTTGAAGGACCTAAGAACTCTGATTGACATGATAACCAACCATGGTTTTAGAGAGCCCATGATGAAGCATGTGCATGTACACACTGCCTGACAAAGAAGGAATGGACTCAGGGGACAGAATGAAACATCTTTTCTGGATCTGGTCAACGAAGGAATTTGTTTTGCCTGTCTATGTATATCTGTTACAAGGATCTTGTTTTTGTTTTTTCCATGTTGGGGGGTGGTGCTATGGGAGTAAGAGGTGGGAGAGAGAAAAAAAATAAATTTTTGTAATTAAAAAATATTGATTTTTTTTAAAAATGAGGCTGGATTAGATGACTTCTGAGGTCCCTTCTGCTTATATACAAATCTATGATCCTGTGAAAAGGGGGCGTGTGAAATAATGTTGGAGTGCACATAGCTTATTATTCATTACAATGCTGGGGAGGGAATAAACATTTATATAATGCCTCCTATGTGCTAGGTATTGTGCTAAGTGCTTTTTATAAATATTACCTCATTTGATCCTTACGACAACTCTGTGAGGTAGGTGCTAATATCCCTATTTTACAATTGAGGAAACTGAGGCAAACAGGGTTAAGTGACTTGTCCAGAGTTACACAGCCAGTAAGAGTCTAAGGTCATATCTGAACTCAGGAAGATGAGTCTTCCTGACTCCAGGCCCAGTGCTCTATCCATTGGACAACCAGCTAGACGGTAGTAGGATACAGAGATGCACTGCAGGTTTCCCACCTAGGGAACATCAAGAACTGTGGCAGGAGGTATGAAGAGGAAGATGTAGATATGAGAGAAATTTCAAAGAGAAAATCTACATGACTTGGTAACTGATCAAAAAATTGTAATGCATGAGCAAGGGTTTAGGAAGAGGAACTGAACAAAGAGAAATGATCTCTAAGTGGCCATAGTGCTACCATGTGACAAGGAATCATTAAAAGACATGGTCTCAGCCATTGGTTTATCGAGCGTTTTTAATGTACACTTTCTGAAACTAAGCAAAGAAAGCTGGGCAAAGCTTATTCTTCCACACGTCCTCACATCACATCTATGAATACAAACGCTTCTATTCTGAGGAAGTCTTTCATTCTATCATCCACAGCACATATATTTAGCGTCTATTATTTGCAAAGCACTGTGGGTAGCACAAGGAGGAATAAGTCACAGCCCGTGCCTTCAAGGATGCTAAAGTTCAATTAAGGTATGACAAAATAACTGAAATGCCAGGTAGAAGTTGGCAATTTCCATGAGAGGCATGAAATGCTACGAGAATTTAGAAGTGGGGAAGGGAGATTCTCCACCAAGCCCCTACCCAACAGTTATTTCTTATAACCTTGGTATACCCACAGTACAATGCATAAGAGCAACAGCCAGGGAGCAAACACAGTTGAGCCCCCTTAAAGATCATCTCTTCACTGATCCCTCCCTGGATGATGGTTTCAACCCCTCAAAACCCAAAATGAAACCATTGGTATGATAGGTACTACACACTCTCCCACTTAAGTGTGAAGCTCTTTGAGGGCTGGTGATAACTTACTTTTTTTTTTTGTATCTCCAGCACTTAGCAAAGTGCCTTGGCACATAGTAAGCATTTAATAAATTATTTTTCATTCATTCATTCATTTATTCATTCACCATAACAAATGTGGACACACCTGTTCCCAAAGACCTATAACATCATTGTTAACTCCTTTCCCATCCCCCCCCAAAATAGAAGAGACCAAAAAGAAAATGAAAACAATAGTTAACAATTGACATTTTTATAGTTTTAATAACTTGGGGTCCTGGGGAATTCAAACCCTATTGACTTTTCCCAGCAACATCCACTTGAAGTTATTCAATAAAACCCCATGCATGGTATAGACCACCTACATAAATCCAGAGAAAGCTAGCTTTGAAGAGCTCCTTCTAATTGAATCTATCCAGTGATTTTTTTTTAAAGGCATAAGTCCAATAGTACAATTACACAGGCTCCAGCTGCAAGGGTAAATAAATTCCATTTCCCAGCAAAACAAAACAAAGCCAAACCTTTGTTACTTACTGACAGTCGGAAAACGTCGGCTTGTAGTAAAATGATGGTGTTTTCGATTCATACTTGGCCCTTCCTGCGTGATTTCCATTGCAGGCCATAAACTGCAGAAGAAGGAAAACAATCAACATTTATGAAACTTTGCATCCCGTACTTTTCTCTTTTCTACTGTGCACTAACGGCATTTTAAAAAAGGAAACCAAAAATGTTCTGGCCCATAGACCACATTGTCTACCATTTCATAAACCTAATAAATGGGTGGGGGCAGGGGGACGTTGATATTGCAGAGACTTCCCAAGAGCAGACATAAAACTGGGTAGGGTCGGATAGATAGGATAGTCAATCAGTCAATTAACAGACACTTATTAAGCACTTACTATATGACAGCCACTGTTTGAAACACTGAGCATAAAAAAAAGATCAAAACAGTCCCTATCCTGAAGAAGTTTATATGTTAATAGGGGTGGGGGTAGGGGAGGGACAGCATATACATAATGAAGTATCTACAAGATATATACAGAGTACATATCTAGGAGCAGAGATGATTGTTGAATTCAGTGTATTTATACCTCGGGGCAGCTAGGTGGCACAGCAGATAGAACACTGGATTTGGAACTAGAAAGACTTTATGTTCATGAGTTCAAATCTGGCTTCAGATACCTCCTAGCTGTGTTACCCTGGACAAGTCAATTAACCCTATTTGTCTCAGTTTCCTCATCTGTAAAATGAGCTGGAGAAGGAAATGGCAAACCACTCCAGTATCTCTGCCAAGAAAACTCCAAAAGGGGTCATGGAGAGTAGGATACAACCGAAAAACACGTATACCTCAGAAATTGGTAAACACTAAAAACCAGGGCCTCAATTGATTGTTGATTGTGTAGAATTAAAAAAGTGGTGGAGAAAATGTTAATAATAATGCAGATTAAACTTCAGAGTGTGTCATGCAACCCCGGTTGTTAAACATTTATCAGAATACCCCTGGATGGAAGGTTATCTCTGAAGTGAAAGAGCAGGAAAAGCAGCAGGAAAGATGACAAGGAGCGAAGTCAAATGTAGAGGTTGATGGCCATCAGAAATCATTATCTCTGGCCACTGGCTTCTCTCCAGAGAGCTTCAAGACGCAAGAATTAACCATGTAATAGATACACTCACACACACAAATACACATATATGACTCTCTCCCCCTATATATGGGGATATACACACACATATATTCCCATATATGGGGAAGAGAGTCATATATATATGTGTATATATGTATGTATGTGTGCATGTATATGTAAATACATATAATGGGATTTTCTATATATATGTAGAGTGTGTGTGTGTGTGTGTGTGTGTGTGTGTGTGTGTAAAAATATATACTATACAGAGAGAGCTATTCCTTTGATTTGTGGGTCATAATTAAGGCTTTATGGTAAAGTCCGGCTGATTAAACACTATGACTTCGTTTAGAGAATTCCTGGTTTTCAGCTAGCCCATTGAGTCAATGGGCTAGACGCAATCAGAAGAGGGCAACGACACCATTCCCACAACCTCACTTCCAGGCCACACCAGCACCAGCCTCTGTGAGAGTTACGGTACACACAGTGAGAACGAATGCCTTAGGCTCTGTAGAGATGAAGATTCTAGTAGCTCTTTTTGAATTCACACTCTTGCTACAATAAAATGGATGGGGCATCATTTGCCGACAGCCCCAGAGTTTAAACCACCAAACCAACAAACATCTGTTGAGAACCTGTTGAGCTCAAGACTGTGGGATATAACCACTGTGCGACTGTTTCGGCAGCAGACAAGAAGTATCATGACATCGTGCATAGAGAGCTGGTCTCAAAGCCAACCAGATCTGGTTTCAAACCCTATCTCTCATACATGCTGGTTGTATGATCCTGGACAAGTCACTTCAACTTTCCTTGTTCTAAGCACCTACGCCTATAAAGTGTGTAGGAGGTGCTGACCTACATTGGTAGGTCGTGTCTCCTCATGTCTGAGTTTTCTTTATCAGAGAAATCACAGGTCCTATCTTTATATAGTCCTTATCCCTATCTTATGCACCCAAATGCAAATTCATGTTATAAACTGTTCTAAAACCCACTGAGAAGTCCTATAAAATCATCTGGCCAAACTTGTAGCCATGGGGCGTGTAAGGGAAACATATTTTTGTAAGAATGTTTATTTCCTCTACAAGGTTTCATTTGGTAATAAAGACGTGATCTGATTGTAATGTCAAGGGTGTGGATGCCAGCCATGCTCATTCACATGTTTTATGTGCCTAAAAATCAGGTGGCGTAGCAGAGAAAGTACTGGATCTGGAGTGAATGTTTAAATATGGCCTCCGTCACTTAGTAGCTGTCTGTGTGAACCTGGTGAAGTTCTCATCTGTAGAATGGGGATAACAGTAGTACTTACCTCCTAGGGTTGTTATGAGAATCAAGTGAGATATTTGTTAAGCTGTTTGCAAAACCCCATAGTGCTATTTAATGCTGACTACTGTTATTGCTATTTTTATTATTATTTTGACATGTTTACTAAATGAGCCAGGGGCTGCTAAGTGGTACAGTGGATAGGCTGTCAGGCCTGGAATCAGGAAGACCTGAATTCAAATCTGGCACCAGACACTTACTAATTGTGTGACCCTGGGCAAGTCACTTCACCCTGTTTGCCTCAGTTTCCTGTAAAATGAGCCGGAGAAGGAAATGGCAAACTACTCCAGTATCTTTGTCAAGAAAATGCCTAATGGGGTCACAAAGAGTTGGTCATGACTGAAAGGATTGAACAACAACAACTAAATGAATAGATCACAGGAATGCCAAAACAGAGCCACTGGATTATAAGCTTCATGAAGTCACGGACCATCTCATAGCTAAACTTTGGGTTCCTAGCAGCAAGCAAAGTGTCTAATACATTCTTGCTGATGTGAACGGGATAATTTTCTGAACGTCAAAAAGCCATTCTGCTGCCTTTTTTCTCTTGATTTAATACCCTAAAATAAGCTCTCCCACTTCCTAACTCCTCCAATAGAAATAGTACATGTGCTATCCCACTTCCTAACTCTTCCACCAGAAATCGCACATAGGCTATCTCAATTTCTAATTCCTTCAAAAGAGTTGGCAATGACATGCAGACTATCCCACTTTCCAACTCCTCCAACAGTGATGACACACAAACTACCCCACTACCTAACTTCTTCAGTGAACACAACACACAAACCATCTTGTTTCCTTCTCTCTCTCACTTCCAGGACTGGCAGTAAATAGTTATGCTGTATTTGAGTAACTGATTATCATAATGTGTCAAAACTGGATTACTTTTAACAACAGAAATAATAATAATGTTAGCATCTATCATCGAGGCATTACAATCTTCCAACCTAGAACCTTAGTGTATTCTTTCTTGATCAGTTGGACCAGTTCAGCAGACACCATGGTGTTGGGTCTTTTCCGGGGCTTCCATCTTTGACACCTTTTTGAGATGGGTGAAGTATGTAGGAGGACTGAAAGATTCACCCAGTCTCCTCTCCCAAGAGGGAGACAATGGAGAGGGATATTTCTAGTAGGAAAGAGCTAGTGAGAGGAATCTCATCTGTCCAGATAGGTGAAATTTGCTCACACCAACCCTTCCAAGCTACTGACTTGAAGTCAGCTTACAGGTTCCCAGGATTACAAACCCAGGCTTCCAGTCTCCCTCACCCTCCTCCCTCATCTCCCCCAATCACCAGGCTTCTTGGCTTCCACATACTTCTATTCTGCATTGAAGATCTGAAAGTAGAATTCTTGAGATCCTTCCTGAAGCCTCCACAGCACCCAGCTGGACATTTATATGCTCAAGATGTTCAAGAGACCACGACTTCAGCCACCATCCTTCACCCCCTATTTTCTGGCAATCTCCTTTGAGTATTCTTTCCCCCGACTCCATCTTCTCCTCCATTCTAGAACTATGACCCATACACAATCACATCAACTCGGTCACTCTTCCTGAATAAGGTATATCAATCTACTTCCCTATGGCCCCACTTACAATTTCTGCAACTTTTCTGTATCAAAGTTCCTCTCCCTGGCCACCATTTCCTTTTGAATGTTGTCTCCCCTCTCAGAATATAAGCTCCTTGAAGGCAGAGACTACCTTTGCTTTTGTATTTGTATCCCCAGCATTTAGTATAGTACTTGGCACATAATAATTGATGAATAAATGTTTTTTCATCCATCCATCCACCATTTGTCCTTGCCAAAATAGGTCACCTGGTTTGGCCTGGATGAGGACTGAATTCAGACTCTCCCTTCGGAACACCACACAAAACATTCACCCTTGTCTAGTTAGTTGTTGAGCCAGTCCTGAGACAAACAGGGACTCCAGCTGTGACCCTCCCCCACTCATTCCCTTATAGAGCAGAACAAAACCAGATGGTATCCACAATGATTAAGTGGGTGAGATGTCTTTGGCATAAATCTCTGCCTGATGTAAGGTCTAGATCTGAGTTTAGGTACAGTTAAATGAAAAAATAAAATGTTTTTGTCTACAGGGCAGGGAGTGTTTCTTTTTTGACTTCGTATTCCGAGTACTTAGCATAGTACCTTGTACACTGCATTGTGTACTTCTCCATTTGATTGTAAGCTCCTTGAGGTAAAGAACTAGCTTTCTTTTTCCTTTTAGTAGCCCTAGCACTTAGCAAAGTGTGTGGCATACAGTAGGTGTTTAATAAATGTTTGCTGACTGTCACTAGCAGGCAGTTAATAAATATTTATTTAATTGAAAGATGAAAGGAAGCAAATAATCTCAAAGTTCACTTTCTAGTACTAAAATCCATGATTCCTGGCTCTGTTCTGTGTCTGGAACATGGCAGGCCCTCAACAAATAATTGTTACAGCATGGTACATTGGAAAGAACTTTGCCTTGATCTGGGTTCAAATCCTGCCTCTGCCATTCACTAAACCTTAGACAAATAGCTTAAACCTCCTTGAGCTTCAGATTTTTCATCTGGATAACGGGGATAATAAAAGCACCCAGATGGCAGGATTGTTGTGAGGATCAGATGAGATAATGAATACATAGTGCTTTGTAAATCTTAAGGAACCTGATTATTGTGAACTGGTATCAGGAGTAAGCTGGTAAAGGTATAACAACTGGCTGATGGGGGCGGGGAGATGGATGCATAACACACTCTTCAGTTTAATCTGCATCACTGACATTTTCTTCACCACTTTCTTGAGTCTAGACCAGAGGTGTCAAATACTCAGCCTACCTGCTGGCAAACTCACGCAGCAGAACTAGATTAAAATGCATATGAGAAATATTTAACAACAAAATATAGATGATGCTAATATGTGGTTTTATAAGTCCACATACAGCCAATGGGATCCTTATGTGCAGCTTAGCAGTACCCATTTCTATTGGAGTTTGGCACCACTGATCCAATCAACAAAACAATAAAAGTCCTGGTTTGCAGCATTTGCTGATTTCCAAGTCCTTAGACTGAAGATTTAACAATCTGAGGGCCAGTTCAGCTGGTTGTAGCACACCCCTGGCTGCCACTCATTATCTAATCATCATGGCAGAAAGGAGTTAGGGCACTCAAGCTAGAGACCTTCTTGGTAGAAGTTAGGAATATCTAGAAAACAAATGCTTCTCTGTACTTCTTGGTTTGGGGGTTAAGAGATGCTCCACTGGGATGGGATTTAATTCCTAGAGAAGCAGGAATGTTCTTATTGGAAGGATCCTGGATAACTCTTCTTGATCCAGCACAATTAATCTGGACCAGGTGTCTAAAAATCCAAAGACATATTGCTAGGTCCTGTCTTTTCAGGAAGGAAAGTTCAAACAGAAGAGAATCTTTTGTTTTGTTTTGTTTCCTATGGGACACTGTTTTCTGGTGTGGTCAGATTCCAGTAGTGAACACAAAGAAGGGGGGTCAAGGGGAATTGTAAATATCTGAAGCTCTCTTTTCCCCACCCGCCTACTTGGAGTCTTCTCAAGGAAAATCAATCAATAAGAACAGTATTTCATTAAGTATCTACCGTGTGCCAGGCACCAGGCTAGGTGCTAGAGACGCAAATTCAAATGTGGGACAGGATTTGTCCTCAAGAAGCTTACATTTTACTAGGGAAGATGTTGTTCACAGATGCATAAATAAAGCAATTATTCACAAACATAGTGATGGGGGTGGGGAAAGAGTAGCACTAACAGCTGAGGAAATCAGGAAAGGTTTATTTTTAAAAGTTTATTATTATTTTTTCAATGACCAATTATTTATTTTTCTCTCTTCTGTCTCTTCCCACCCACTGAAAAGAAGGAAGAAAGGGAGGGAGGGAGGGAAGGAGGGAGAAAAGGAAGAAGGAAGGAAGGAAAGAAGGAAAGGAAGAAGGCAAGAAAGAAGGAATGGAGGAAAGGAGAGAGGAAAGAAGGGAAGAAAAGAGGGAGGAAACAAAGGAACAAAGGAGGAAAGAAGGGAAGGGGAAGGAAGGGAGGGGAAAGGGAAAAAGGGAGTCAAGTAAAACATATTCCCCCATTGGTCATGTCAAAAATTCATTTCTTATCCTCCATATTTCCATATTCTGCATATCACCATTTCTCTGTCATGAGATGGGCAGTACTCAGGAAAACCTCAATAAGGGGCCCTTGAAGTGAGCTGTGAAGGGAACTGGGGGTACAAAGAAGCAGACATGAGATAGAGGAGCATTTCAGGCATGAGCACAGATGCGGAAGACACCAGAATGCTGTGCACGGGAAACAGCATGCCCCAAGTAGCCCCAGACAATGTAGAGTTTTGGTCATACTGGAGTTAAGCAAACTTAGATGTCCTCTCTGACCCTGCTTCAACTCCAAAAAGATCCCTGCGACCTGGTATCAGTCTGCCACCCAGACCCCTCCCAGCAAGGACTCAGCCAAGAAAGCAGACCCCATACCTCTATTTGTGCTTCATCCCAAGCATCCAAACGGACTGACTTCACTTTGCTGACATTGGGGACGTTGCGATGTATTCCTGAGCAGCTCAGGCAAATGAATACTCCAAGGGTATAGGAGGCCCAGTCAGGATCTAAGAAGCAAATAATAATAATAAGAGTAATGATGATGATGATGATAGCTAGTCTTTATATAGCATTTTAAAATTTACCAACATTACCTTTATTTACAAGTATTATTTTTACAAATATTATCTTATTCTAACCTCACAACAATGCTGGAAGGCAGTTGCTATTATTATCTTCATTTTACACATAAGGAAACTGAGGCAGATAGGTTAATTCTGTCCACTGACCCACCTACAACTAGTCACCAATCGGTATGGAAACAAAGAAAAGTATGAGCACACTGAAAAGAGAATGACACTAATAGTCAGCAGACCTGGCTTTTTTAGTCCTGACCTTGACACTAACTAGCTGTGAGACCTTGGATGAGGGACAACTTCCCTAAGCTTCAGTTTGCTCATTTGTAAAATGAGGAAGGAGAACTGGAACACAGTGTAGATCTAAGATCCTATGATCTCATTGATGTAAATTCAATAATTATTAAAGACAGATCCCGATTTTTTGCAGTAATTATTTGTTTGATATTATTTGCAACTGTAAAAACAACCAAGGTAGAAGAACTGTAAAAGTCCAACAGTGAGGGGAGTTACAAATTGTACCACATTAATGCAAGTTGGGGCAGCTAGGCGGCGCCATAGTGCACAGAGCGCCAGGCCTAGAGTCAAGAGGACTCATTTTCCTGAGTTCAAATTCAGCCTCAAACATTTACTAGTTATGTGACCCTGGGCAAGTCTCTTCACCCTGTTTGCCTCAGTTTCCTCATCTGTAAAATGAACTGGAGAAGGAAATGGCAAACCACTCCAGTATCTTTGCCAAGAAAACCCCAAATGGGGTCATGAAGAATGGGATAAGACTGAAAAATAACTGAATGACAACAATAGCAACGCAATAGGATGCTAAAATGTCATTAAGATGGATGAGAATGAGGAATCCAAAGAAATCTGGGAAGACTCATGAAATGATGCAAAGAAAAAAAGGCAGAACCAAAGTAAAAGTACATATACCAACTCTAACCAGGGGAATGAATCAATGAACCAAGAAATAGAATAGAGGGGATGACTGAAAAATTATGACTGAATTTTATGTGCTGAGATTCACCTATTTCAACACAATAGTTGCAACGCACATTTAGTCGGTTACATCGATGTTTACTCTTAAGTTTATAATAAATCATTTAAAAATATTGCTGAAAACGTTGCCCATAACTCAAAACTTTAAGTGAATCATATTTCAAATGCAAAAGGGAAGCTGATGATTTAAAGGAATTCTATTGTGAATTCTTTTGTAAAATCAATAATCCTTTTATAAAGCTAGCCATCATTCCCTGAATTCACATTTGGAATAAATACAGGTGTTCATCCTTGGCATGAAATAGAGAAAATGATGACTATAAGGATTATAGGATCATAGATTCAGAATTGGAATGAGACCTCGGAGGCTAAAACCTACCCTCTTAGAGCTTACAGATTATGAAAATAATAGCATTTATATAGCACTTTAAGGTTTGCAAAGTATCTTACAAATATTATTTCATCCTCACAACCACCCTAGAAGCTAAGTGCTGTTATCATCTCCATTTTACAGATAAGATAACTGAGGCAGATAGAGGGTGAATTACTAGCTCAGTTTCACACAGCTAGTGAGTGTTCTGAAGCTGGATTTGAACTCAAGTCTTCCTGACTCCAGATCCAGTGTTCTATCTGCATCTAGATGAATAAACTGAAGGAAGCCCAAAAAGGTTAAGTGATTTGCCTATTATAAATATTTTTGTAAAAAATCTTTTGAGACAAATAACCACTGCTGCCAAATCCTTATTTTTGTATAAATAAGGATTTCCATATATGAGGTTTGTTTAAAGGTTTTCCATATGCGAGACTTGTTTAAAGCTAAGTATGCCTACATTCCTGTGACCTCTCTCTTTGCTGAGGCTGAAAAAGGCCATTTGTATTAGGATCATTCACAGAATATCTGGCCTCAGGTCAGCGCGTCCACAAACAGGAAATTGCCCATCTTCCCCACCGACCAGACCAGGTAAGCAATGGAAGGAAACTTTTCATTTCTACCCATTTTGACTCAAACATTTTTCCTCCCAGGCAAATCATTTCAAACCATTTTGAGTTTATCCTCTGTCCAAAATCTACCCTCAAGGGCCCCAGCCCCTAATGACTCAGACCCATATCAGAGGCTACTGTAAAAAGTGAACACAACTCCTAAATTCTGTATTCCCTCATGTTCTCACATGCCCATATCACTCAGTAACCACAATCACAACATATTCCACTCACAAGCGTTAAATGAGGCCCATAGGTCAAATGAACAAATCTTTAATGGTCCTCTAGTACATGCCCAGCCCTGGACTCTGGGTTCTGTAGGTTATAGAAAAATGAAACACACAGTCTCATGCTTAGGTTCGTCATAAAAGAGATTCTTGCTCCAGTGAGATAATCCCTTGCCTGGCAAGTTACCTAGTGGCTTCTGGTTTGGCTAGGGGTTGAACCAGACCGTGTCTTCAATCCTTTCCAATTCTTTTCCATTCTACAATTTGGAACCGGTGGCACAAGCAGACAGCACTCAAAGTGAGGCAGGCGGGACCTCAGGATGAACAAAAACACAGGAGGACCCTATGACCCTATGAATACATGTCACCTAACTTGGAACAGTAAGAAAATCAGCCTTAAGAAGAAGACAGAAAGCAAATTTTCATAGGTTCATAGCTCTAGGAGGAACCTCAGAGGTTATCTAATATAGACCCCTTATCTTAGAGAAGAAGAAACAGACCAGGGGGCCCAAGGTCACACAGGTGTTAAAAATCAATACTGAAGAGTAGTAAAAGACAGAGTTAGAATGGGGCTGGGTGGAAGGCCTTAAAAGTTCTGGTACATGATAGTGATGGTATACTACTGTGCTATAAGAAACGATAAACTTGATTATAAAACAAACAAACAAACAAACAAACCATGGATAGATTTGCATGAAATAATGAAGAGGGAAACGAGCAGAACCAGAAGAACATTGTATACAGTAACAGCAATATTGTTTTAAAAACAACTTTAAGAGACTAAGTCTTTTTGACCATCATAAGTACTCAAATTAACTACAAAGGACATATGAAGGAAGATGCTATCTGCATCCAGAGAAAGAACTGATAAGAACTGTCTCATTCATTACAATGTAAGCTCCTTGAGGACAGAAACTATGTTTTTTTTACCTTCTTTGTATCCTCAGTGATTAGCACAGTGTCTGGAATATTTCAGTTGTTTTTCAGTGGTGCTTGACTCTATGCGACTGATCCCATCTGGGGTTTTCTTGGCAAGATACTAGAGTGGTTTGCCATTTCCTTCTCCAGTTCATTTAAAAGATGAGGAAACTGAGGTAAACAGAATTAAGTGACTTGCCCAGGGTCACACAGCTAGTAAGTGTCTGAGGCCAGATCCGAACTCAGGAAGATGAGGTTTCCTGACTTCAGGCCTGACACTCTATCCACTGTGCCATCTAGCTTCAAGCCTGGTATATAGTAAGGACTAAATAAATGCTTGTTTACTTGACTTGACTGGAAATACAAAGAAAGGCAAAAACAAGGCTCCACATTCTCATGGGGGGAGACAATGAGCAAACAATTTCATTCTTTTCCCCCTGTAACCTCTGGAAAGGTTCTATCTGCACCCCTTTGTTAAAAAAAATTGGCAACGGTGGCCCCAAAAGAAAACAGACCCTAGAACAGAGAATAAAAGAGTAAGAATAAGTTATCTACTGAGCAGCATGTCCCTCCCCAGACAGGCAATGTCTTGGAGCTCTGTCTCTCGCACTTAGCACGTTCCCCATGCAATCCTCTAACAGAAAGGTCATAATTTGTTTATTCTGTTCTAGTCATTATGCTAAACATTTACACTACACAGAGTAGTCATTATTTATGAGGAGTCAAGAGACTGTTCTCACTTTCTTTATACATATTTAATGGATGGTTTGGGCTGCAATCAGCACCCAGGAATTATGGGAAGCGAGGGTCTGGTGAAGGAGGAAATGACGGGCCAGCCACACCTGATCCATGTTGAACTTGGAGAGAGGTTCCCTCCCCGGAGCTATCAGGACAGCTCCATCTGAGCAAATCTTGGGGTGAGGGGGAAAATGAGAACTAACAATGACTCTCCACTAAAACCCCCAAGCCCAGCCACGCCACAGCCTCACTTCTGTATTTATATTCCTGGATCCCAGTAGAATGCCCGGCACAGAGTAGGAGCTTAGCAAATACTAGTTGTTTGACTCACGCTTCTCCTGGATTTGAGAAAGAGAAAAGAACAGAAGCAGGGGAAGAAGGTATTAACAACTCACATTTATAGAGCTGGCACTTTACTTATAACAGTACCATGAGATGGGCAGGGGGAATATTACTCTTCTCATTTCCCAGGTAAGGAAAATGAAGCTCATAGGTGCTTAATAAATGCTAATGGGCATTCTCTCTCTCCCCTCCCCACTCTTCTTTCTCTCCTTTCCTCTTCTATCATCTTTCCTTCTTTCTGTCTCTGTATGTGTCTTTCTCTGTCTCTATCTCTAACTAGCTATTTTAGATGCTATCTGCTATCAGAGACAGAATCTGATCCCAGGTCTTCCAGACTCTGAGTTTGGCACTCTATCCATTATACCACATTTCCTCAATAAGAGGAAGGGAGAAGGTGGAAGGGACAGTCCAGATGGCAATACTCCAGAGATGTCTCTGCCCAGAAAGTGGAAAATCAAATATCAAAAAGAGGAACCAGGATTATCTTTCACTTTTCACTGTCCCTTCCTCACAACAGGCATTTCAAGCTTCTTGGAACAAACCCACCCATGTCTAACAATATCTGAAGCCCTGTCTAATGGAAGAAGCACCAGAGTTGATCCATGTGGGTCAAGAGGGAAGGGCTAGAACCAATGGGCGGCGGTCAGAAGAAGGCAGATTTTGGCTCACTCTAGATGAGAGCCTTCTAACTATTAAGAGCTGCTCAACAGGAAGGGGCCACTTCATAGGATC